GAGTCCGGGGCCCGCGCCGAGCGCAGTGCGCTGCAGCGGCAGCGGCAGCGGGAGCCTGGGCCGGCCGCGCCGCAAGTGGGAGGTGTTCCCGGGCCGCAACCGCTTCTACTGCGGCGGCCGCCTCATGTTGGCCGGCCACGGCGGCGTCTTCGCGCTCACGCTGCTGCTCATCCTCAGCACCACGATCCTCTTCTTCGTCTTCGAGTGAGTTTGCGGCGGCCGCGCGCCCCTCCTCCGCGTCCCCGGCTCCTCCGCTTCCCTGCCTGCCCACATCCTCCCCGCTCCTCTGGTCCCTGTGCCCTCGGGCCTCGCCCGTCCCCGCACCCTTCCCGGCCACCGGGACCTCGGGTGCCCAGCCCTGGCCACCGGTACCACCCCCAGGGCCTCCCTTGAGGTCCGCCTGCTCCCTCATCCCTGGACTATCTCCTGCCTATCCCTAGACCATCTCCTGTCCATGCCATCCCTAGACCATCTCCTGCCCATCCCTAGACCATCTCTTGCCCATCCCAGGCTCCTTCTGACCCCTTTAGGCAGGCAGCTTTCATTCCTACCCTTCCCAGACAGCTAAGTTTCTGTGTCCTTTGGTTGTGGACACCCTACCATGAATTTCCTAGGCATCTTCTGGGCTCCTTCCAAGAGTCTCCCTGGGTCTTGGCTCTCAGACACCCTCCCTCCTCCACTTGCTTTCCCTCAGTCATGCTCACCCTAGGCCCCGAGGCATCCTCCCTGAAGCTTCTTTGGGCCTCTCAAACTGACCTTTCCTTCTCCAGTACTTTCCTTAGTTTTTGCAGAGCTTTCTATCTTCCTTTTGCTCCTGGTCCCCCAGGTGTCTCAGGCCTTTCCTTTCTGGTCATCATCCCAAAGCATCCCTCCATCTTGTTGCAACATCAGGACAACTGCATCACTTTGTGGTTTGTTTTTTTTTTTTTGTTGTTGTTGTTTGTCTTTTTCAGACAGGGTCTCCTTGTAGCCCCAACTGGCCTGGAACTCCCAAAGATCCACCTGCCTCTGCCTCCCAAGGGCTGGAATTAAAGGCATACGCCACCACACCTGGCTGTGTTTGTTTGTTTTTCAAGAAAGAATCCACAGTGCTTTCATGTGCCAGGTCCTATTTGCCTCCATGGGTTTTTGACCTCTTACCTTCTCCAGTGATTCAGGATTGGCCCACACAGTATGTCCATCTTATGGCTGGAGGTTGGAGGGAGGGAGTGCTCATGTCTTTATCACCACTACCCATGCTTCAGAAATTCCCACTTCACCCTCAGCCTTTGGCTGGAGCCACCTGCGTGATGTGGTTCCATGCACACCTACTCTCCCACACGTGCACACCCACCTTGAACCCACCTTCCCCTCCTAGCACTCCACTCCTTGTACTTGGCTGCCTTTGTTATTCAGTATGGTTGGAGCCCACAGACCTGACTCCAGTCCCAGCTCCACCTCAAACTAATTGTGTGGCCTTGGGGCAGTCACTTCACTCCACTGAGCCCCAGTTTCCTCATCTGTAATATGAGGCCTTTAATAATACCTACCTCCTAAAGAGGTTGTACTATTGTAAAGAGGTTGGTGCTAGTCAGGCATGCAAGCTTTTAGCACTCGATATTGGCAGCTGTTACTACCAAAGAGCTCACCAAAAAGTACTTCCTGAGGGCATGCAGTCATGGTGAAGCTGTCTGAAAGACACCAGCTCCCAGATCTCTTAGATCATGTATCTGCAACTTCAGGCTTCCCCTTCAAGCAAGGTGAAAACTTCCTGCAAATTGACTTCTTCCCTTCCCCCTAAGGCTCTACCCTGCTATTGTGAGTCAGGCCAAATAAAAGTTCAGAGATGATTTACACGCAGAAGTTCTGGGGCCTCAACATGGCCCATGGGCTGTTTCAGAACTACCTGGCCACGGCCTCTTAGGTGTTGTGGGAGGGCTTTTCCAGAACCCTCCATCAGTCAGTCTGCTCTCTGTGGTACTGTGGCCCAGGCAGGAGGAAGTAGTGCTGCCTGTGGTTGGCTCTGTAACCCTTCAGCCAGCGTGGGATCTGGTCAGTTCAGAGTGTCTGGCTTCACTGGTGGTAACTGACTTGCCCAGAGAGGAAGCAAGGCCTCCTGGGCTCAGAGAGAGCAGGCCTGCCCTCTTGGCTTTTACTCTCACTTATCTGCACCTGGGGTGGTAGATTTGTCAGCAGGGTTTGATCCTGGTCCATAGCTGGGTGTACACTGGGGACAAAACTCCAATAAGGAGCTGGAGTGATGGGCATATGCTTAATAAGGACAGGGAGGGTAGGAGATATTCAGATTCCCCCAAGGCTCTGGGCCAGGTACAGGTGGCTTTTGAGGGCTTTCCTGCTGCAAATGGTTTGCTTCCCTGTTTGGTTTGGTAGGTTAAGAGCCTCCTGTTAGGTTCTTAACTTTTGTCCCACTTCCTAGCCCACATAGCTGCCAGAACCCTTTTAAAGTCAGCTTTCAGTCTCCCTGGCTCTCCCTCTCTATGGGAAGAGCCAGAGGTCTAACAACGGCTTTCTTGTGGGCCCTGTTCCCTTTTAGTCCTCTGCTGTGTTGTCCTATCTGAGCTCTTTGGCCTGCTGGCACAATCCTGCCTCAGGGCCTTTGCACTGTTTGGAATACCTTCACAGTTCTCTTCCCTATCTGCCCATTCCATTGATCCATCCATCCATCCATCCACCCACTCACCCTTCTTCGGTAGTTTCAGGCCTGTCTTTTCTGTGAGAGCAGGGTGGTAGAGTCCACACTCGTGTGTCCTTAGTGCCTAGGACTAGTGCTTGGTATATAGTAGGTTCTCAATACAGCAAATGCTGGTTGAATGAATGAATGAATGAATGCTGGGTAGATCACTTGCGCCATGTCTGGAGACACCAGTCTGTCACTGGCTGGCTGACCTTAAATCTAGCTGTGGAAATCAGAGTCTGGAACCTGGTGTTTCCCCCAAGGCTCCGGCAAGTCTCATCCCCTACTTTGTACACGAACTAGGTGAGCTGTTGTGACTGTGACACCAAGTACCTGGCTGGTTCTGTTGGAGACTTGGATCCGAAGAACACTGAAATGTGTGGAGCAGAGGGTGGCCCACCTGGAGACTTTGTCCTTGGCAGGCTCTGGTTCTCAGGGGAAAGGCTCTCTGGAGGCTACGGCCTCTAGGGTAGAAGCTTCAGAAGCAGTGTACAGTTGTTCTGGCTTTGTTCCCCACCTCTGCAGACTCCCAAAACCTCAGTTGTCCTCAAGCCTCCCAGCAGCCACATCTTTCAGCCAGCACCCTCTCCCACCCCCACACACAAACACACATCTACTCTGAGGGTGGTGCTTAATTAATATGACCATCAAAGTCATTTTAGCACTCCTGAGCTATGTGATGTTGTGCAGGTTATTTAAGCTCCCTGAACTTTAGTTTATTCATCTGTAATAATATCAGAGGGTCATGGTGAAGAGAAAATATATGTGAAGTGCTTAGCAAAGTAGTATATAGTAATTATTTATTTATTTATTTAGAGACAGGGTCTCACTATTTATTCCTGATGGCCTGAACCTCGCTATGTAGACCAGGCTGGCCTCAAACTCATAGATACCCACCTGCCTCTGCCTCCCCCTACCTTTTCTCCAGTCCTGAGATTAAAGGTGTATACCACCACACCCAGCCTAATTAATTATTTTTAGATAGTGTTTCTCTCTGTAGCCCAGGCTGACCTCCATCTCTCTGGATCATCCTTCCTCAGCCTCTTGAGTGCTGGGATTACAGGTGTGCACCCTCATGCCTGGCTTGTATCAGATATTATTATCATTTATTACTTTGTGAACCTGGAAACTGGAAACAACTCCTTATGCATGCTAGACAGCATTCTACCACTGAGCTATAGCCCCAGCCTGAGAATATTATTAATGATAGTTTATTAATTAGGGCAGTGTCTGGCATATAGTAAGCCTTCAAAAAATGGCAGGTGTTAGGTCGGTCTGGAGACATAGTAGTAGAGTGCTAACCTAGCATGTGTAAGGCATTGGGTTTGGTCTCTGGTACTGCCCTCCCCGCAAAGATACATGGCAGCTACTTTCTCTGAAAGGAGGGGATCACTGTGCATTTGATAGTTATTTACTAGACAGTTTCTTGGTGCCAGGTGGAAGGGATGTTGTCTGTACCCTCAGAGGAACTTAGGGAAAGGGCAGTCAGCACATCCACAGATCAGCAGTTACCATTTCTTTCTTTTTTTTTTTTTTGGTCGTTTTTGAAATAAGGTCTCCCTGTAGCCCCAGCTAGCCTGGAACTCACTATGTAGACCAGGCTGGCCTTGAACTCACAGAGATCCACCTGCCTCTGCCTCCAAGTGCTGAGACTACAGGCATGCGCCACCACACCTGGCACAGACAGGAGTTACCATTTCTAATAAACGTTGTACAGACAGTAAAGAGTCTTCGGGAGGCTTTGTATAGACCATCATGGAATGTCCTCTGAAGAGGACCCAGAGGAAAGAAGAGCACGTGCAAGGGAAGAGCCATAGTTGTGGGAACTGTTATAAGGCTGCCGTGATGGGAGTAGAGGGGTAGAGAGCGGTTTGCGTTCTTTGATTTTTGTTGTTGTTGTTGTTTTTGGTCTTTTTGAGACAGGGTCTTCCTATAGCCCCAACTGGCCTGGAACTCTTCTATGGAGACCTCAAACTCACAGGGATCTGCCCACCTGCCTCCCAAGTGCTGGGACTAAAGGCCTGTGCCACCATACCTGGCTTTTTGGTTTTGTTGTTGTTTTATGAGATAGGGTCTCTCACTATGCAGCCCTGGCCCACCTGGAACTTTCTATGTAGGCCAAGCTGGCTTCAAACTCACAGATATCTGCCTGCCTCTGCCTCCCAAGTGCTGGAATTAAAGTTATGTGCCACCACACCTGGCAGTGAAGAGAGTTTTATAGGATGAGGCTGGAGAACCCTTCAGGAGGGTCCAGGACTTGCCTGGTATAGAAGGCCATGGTTGACAGTCTGGATTTCATTAGAAATACTGGGAAGTCATTAGAGGGTTGTGGAACCGAGTAGTAGGCAGCCTGCCTGGTAGGAAGAGGCAGGACAGCCAGCAGGTGTAGCCAACTAGGGTCAAGCCTGATGGAACTTCTTGGAGTTACCATCCCTAGGGTGGCTCTGCAGAGCTGGACCGTACTGTTTCTCCCAGCTGTGGGAGCCTTCCTTGTTCCACAGCTTCCCCTCCCCCATAGAGCACACAGCACTCTGGCAATTCCCTGTTTGCATGTCTCTTTTCCCCAATAGACCATAAACCACATGGCAGAGAGACTCTTGTCATGTTCCTGGCCATTATCCCTGCTGCTTATTGAGAGTGTTGCCTGGCACAAGGAAGAACACAGTAAATATTTGTGGAGTGACTGAATGATTGAATCAACATGCAGCATTGCCACGGATGGTTAGGATGGTTATCTCACTGACTGGCCTCTTAATTGGTAGTGACTTCCTGGAGCTCTGTGTCTAGAGGGATTCTGAGGCGGCAGCTAAACAGAAGGGTAAAATGATCAAATCTGAGCTGGATACATTGGTATACTTGCAGCCCTAGTTCTTGGGCAGGCAGAGGTAGGATGATGGCTTGAGCCCAGGAATTCAGGGCTAGCCTGGGCTTTCTGTCTGCATCTCTGTCTCTTTAAGTTTTTGTTTTTAATTACATTTTATTTTGTGTGTATGCACATGTGTGCGAGACGGCACAACGTGGAGGTCAGTGGACTTCTGGGAGTCAGTTCTGTCCTTCTATCATGGGGGTTCTGGGATTGACCTCAGATTGTCAGGTCTGGCAGCAAGTGCCTTTACCTGCTGAACCATCTCACTGGCCTGGTTTTGGGGTTTTTTTTGAGACATGGTGTCATGTTGGTCCGCTTAATCTTGAACTCACTATGTAGCAAGAATGGCCTTGAACTGATCCTCCTGTGTGCTCTCTGAGTGCTGGGATTGCAAGTGTGCACCACCAGAAAAAGAAGTCTAGAAGCAGAAAGATCAGGAGTTCAAGGTCAGCCTGGGTTACTTAAGAGAGTTCCAGGCCAACCTGGAATAAATGGAAAGATCCTGGAAGGAGATGGAGGAAGGGAGAGGAAGGAGGAGGAGAGAGACACACACACAGAGACACACAGAGGGAAACAGAGACACTGGAGAGAGAATGAATCTGTTGATCATATCTACCATGAGCTTGGAGTAGAAAAGGTACAAGAAGTGGCATTGACTGATGTCTGTTGTGGGTACCTACAGGAGTGACTGCACTCACCTCCGATTGACCCTCAGAGGGAGGCTCTGTTCAAGAATGTGGTATCCAGAGAGCCTAGGGGTAATCTGAACTCTCTCTCTATCTCTCCTTCTAGCTGTCCCTATCTAGCCCGAGAACTGACCCCGGCCATCCCCATCATCGCTGCCATCCTCTTCTTCTTCGTCATGAGCTGCCTCCTGCAGACGAGTTTCACCGACCCTGGCATCCTGCCCCGGGCCACCGTCTGTGAAGCAGCTGCCCTGGAGAAACAGATCGGTGAGACTCTTGTTACAGCCCAGGCTGTATCTCCCCAGCTCCACTTCCCAGACTTGAGAGGAGACCTAATTTTTGCTTGCAGTACTTTTCTGGGAAGTGGGGAGACAGCAGTGAGCAAGGCAGGCTGGAGGGAGGCAGATAAGCCAGCAAACAAATAAGAGTGCTGGCTGGCCTCAAGGAGCCCAGTGCTTCCAGGAGCCAGGCAGGGTTTTAAGCTGTCAGTATGCGTGACTGTGCTGACTCCCCCAATAATCCTATGAGGTCAGTACTGTTGTCACTCTCTCCCTAGTCAGTCATTTAAATATGGCACAGAGTGGTACATGCTTCAAAAATCATACCGTAAGTGGAAGAGTCGGGTTGCAACCCCAGGCAGTCTATGCCTGTGCCCCTGCTCTTAGACGTAGACCAGGCTGGCCTTAAACTCACTATATAGCTTCGAATGGCCCCAAATTTCTGACCCTCCTGCCTCTACCTCCTAAGTATTAAGATTATAGACATGTACCACCACACTTGGGTGAACATTTTTTTGTCGTTGTTGTTCTTTTTTGAGACAGGGTCTCCCTGTAGCCCTAGCTGGCCTGGATTCGCTATGGAGACCAGGCTGGCCTCGAACTCACAGAGATCCGCCTGCCTCTGCCTCTGCTGGGATTAAAGGCGTGCGCCACCACGGTCGGCCTTGGGTGAACATTTTAAAATTTATTCAGTTATGAAACATTAATTGAATCCTCACTGTGTGTCATGAGCTGTTTCAGATGCTGGTGATAGAGGAATGAAGGAAACTGACATTAATCTCTGTTCATGGAGGTGACATTCCACAGTAAGAAAGACAATAAACAGATGATTAAGTAGGTAGGATGTCAGAGAAGAAAGTACTCAGGAAGGGCTAGGAAGGAGGTGTCTGAGCCAAGGTTCAGGCAGGGGCTGGGGGACAAGTGCTGGGCTGGGGCTCAATAGCATGGAGCAGGGACTAGCTTAAATTGGGGGCTCAGGATAGGCCCCCAGGAGATAAGCTCTGAATGCTGTGGTAGGATGAGAAGATTCTATAAACAGAGAAGGTAAAAGCTCAGAGTGGGGCAAGGTCCTGCAGATCACTCAGCTTTTCCCCTGGGTGGCTGTGCCCCAGGCCAGGACCTTCATCTCAGCTGGCTCCACCCCACTTCCTTCCTGTGGAGAAGTGGCTTGAACGTTTGCACACCTCCACCTCCGGGCTTTCCGGTCTTAGTTGGATCCCTCCCCTAAGAAGGCAGCATCCATACAGGCTCTTAAGTACAGGCTCTTAAACGGCCAGCTGGCCCTGAAGAGCTCTAGTGACCTGTAAATGTCAGAGCCCCGTTGCGTCCATCACTGGGAATCATTTCACTGACTCTGGAGCTGCTGGGGAGGGGCCTGGGCGAGGGCAGCTCCAGGCCCGCTCTCAGCTCTGTTGGTCTTTGTCTCCTCTGCCAGCCACACCCGCAGCTGCTGCCTTCCTCTCACATCCAGCTTCCTTCCCCTCACACCACCCCTGGCCTCCCCATTCCGCTCTTCAGTGTCCCTCCTTCTGACCTGGGCTGCTCAGAAGCTAGTGGGTTCATCTCCTCTTCAGCCAGACTAATTCCGAGGACGCAGGATTATTGTGCAGCTCAACCAGACTCAGAGGCCTGGCTGCTTGGAATCCTCTGACTTCTGGGAGCTACTCGGCCATTTGGAGCAACAATAATCCTTATGTTTTAGGAGAGCTTGACTGTATGCCCAGTACTGTCCACTTTCATCTCCACAAATCCTCACATCTGCCAAGGGCAATGTTGGTAGCCAGATGTGCCCGTGCATACGCCAAGCAGGGGTTCATGGGACCAAGGAGGAAAGGGACAGGAAGAGAATAGGGGCCCTCTTCCACACCCCAGGCTTTGTCTTTGGGGATGGCAGTAGGGACACCTCCCCTCCATCCCTGTGTCTCCACTTTAGTACTCTATACACGGCCAGGCCTTCCACAATGCATTCCCACGTGACTTGACTTTTCTTCTCTGTCCTTGTGCGCCATGGGGTCATGATGGATTTATTCTTCACTGGGCTGTGAGGGCAAGGGACCTGAGTGTCTTGTTTACCTTATCACCTATCACTGTGATAGGCAGGGAGGGAGATGGGGGAAGAAGGGAGAGAGGTAGATAAGGGGGATGGAGGGAAACAGAGGGAGGGAGGAACAGATGGACGACTCAAGAATGGGAGCTTTCCAGGAAGACCTCTTTGCTGCCCAGGGGACGGTTGAGAGGCATTAAAATGTCTGGTAAGCTCATGCATTTATTTGTGTGCTGGTTCTACATGCTGACTCCTGGCACCTGGGGGAACAGGACTCCGATATGCACCCTACCCTGTGGGGTCTAGATCAGTGAAAGATGGAGAGGTCTGAGCACAGATTGGATAAAGCTTTGGAAGACAGTTGAGGAGTATCTTCTGAATGTGGGACTTGGACAGGTGCCACGTCTTGAAGTTTGCTGGAAATTCAAGCACAGAAAGCTGTGTCCTCCAGGCAGATGGAACAGCCAAGGGAGGACAGAGTGGGAAAGAACGGGCCAGGCATGGGGCCTCTGAGCAGGCCAGGGATAGGGCCATTGAAGAGACCACATTGACTAGAACAGCTGCTAAGTCTGAAAGTGGCATCATTGGTCCCTTTAAATTCTCAAGCTTGAATTGAAGCTAGACTTTGGAATGTGGCCAGGAAGCTTCTAACCAAGGTGAAACATATTTTCCTGAAAAGCGCTAAGGTCCCTGAGCCTTTGTGGCTCAGTTGAGCCACAGTACACCTCTTACTGTAGCCTCCCAACTCCAACAGAGACAGCTAAGGCGGGGTGAACAGCTCTGCCCGGTTTACCTAGCACTGTCCAATTTTTTTGTTTGTTTTGTGGTTTTTTTTTTTTCCTTCGGTCTTTGAGACAGGGTCTCCCTGCAGCCCCAGCTGGCCTGGAACTCACTATGTAGACCAGGCTGGCCTTGAACTCACAGAGATTCGCCTGCCTCTGCCTCCCAAGTGCTGGGACTACAGGTGTGTGCCACGCCCGGCTCAATTTTTTTAAAAAATATTTTAATTATTTTTATTTTATGTGTGTAAGTGTATTGTCTGCATGTATGTGAGTGTACCCGTGTGAGGTCAGAAGAGGGCATTGGAGTCTCCTGGAACTGGAGTTAAGGACAGTTCGTAGCCGCCATGTGAGTGCTGGGAATCAAATCCAGGTCCTTTATAAGAACAGTCATTGCTCTTAACTGCTGAGCCGTCTCTCGGGCCCCGCACTGTCCTATTTTAGAACTGAAAGTCTTACGTCTTGGAAAACCCTGTCAGGTAAATTGGGGCAGTTGGTCACTTCATCTGCGGTCTGGTCTTGTCAGCTGATCTGGCAGCACAGTTGGATCACCCTGAGGGCTCAGATTAAGTAGGAACCTTGTTCCTAAGATAATTCTGGTCTGAGAGACATTTAACTCCAGGAGACAGACGTTCAGCTAGCCCCAACTGTGCTCATAGGACAGACACTGGTCTGTTCTCTGGGGTGTCCCTTGAAGCTCACAGACCATCCTGTCAGCCATGGTGTGTCTTCCCCATCTAGTCCGGAAGCCCCTTTCTAGGGCAGACCTGACTCATTTCCCACCCAAGCTGACTCAGGGCTCTGTTGACCAGGCCTGTTCTCACCTCTCAATTATACTTGACTAGTTGACTCATTTGTTTCTGGCCCTCCGAGGCTTAGAACTTGGGTGATTCCATAGTGCCCTTCACTTGCTTTCCTGAATATCAGTCATTGGAATTCAACTTCATGATTTTTGCTTTTCCTATCTCTCACCTCATCTGTACCTTCATTTCTTTTCTTTCGTTGGTTGGTTTGTTTTGAGATGGGGTTTCACTGTGTAGTCTTGACTCTGTGTGTGTGTGTGTGTGTGTGTTTATTATTTTTATTTTATTTTTGGTATTTTGAGACAGGGTCTCCCTGTAGTCCCAGCTGGCCTGGAACTCACTATATATAGACCAGGCTAGCCTCGACCTCAGAGATACGCCTGCATCTGCCTCCTGAGTACTAGGATTAAAGGTGTGCACCACCATGCCTGGCCTTAATATTTTATTTTTATGTATATGAATGTATTGCCTACATGTGTGTAAATGCACCCATATCATGCAGTGCCCATGGAGTCAAAGAGGGCATTGGATTCCCCTGGAACTGGAGTTATAGGACAGTTGTTAGCTGCCATATGAGTGTTGGGAATTGAACCCTGGTCCTCTGCAAGAGCAGCCGATGCTCTTAACCACTGAAATCTCTCTAGTCCATGACCATATATATATATTTTATTTTATATGTATGAGTGTATTGCCTGCATGTATGTGAGTGCACCAGTGTCATGCAATGCTGCAGAGGTCAGAAGCGGGCTTTGGATTCCCTTGGAACTAGAGTTAAGGACGGTTCGGTTCGTAGCCACCATGTGGGTGCTGGGAATCGAACCTGGGTCCTCTGCAAGAGCAGTCAGTGCTCTTAACTGTTGAACCATCTCTCCAGCCCCATGACTGTATATTTTATTTTTATTTTGTTTTTGTCTTTTTTTTTTTTTCTTTTTCAGTCTTTTCGAGACAGGGTCTCCCTGTAACCCCTGCTGTCCTGGAACTCACTATGTAGACCAGGCTGGCCTCGAACTCAGAAAGATCCATCCACCTGCCTCTGCCACCCAAGTGCTGGGATTAAAGGCATGCACCACCACGCCTGGCATGACTGTATATTTTAAAAGGAAAATTTATGTCACCCTTGAGAATGCAAAGCCAGGCTCACTTGCTCTGAGTGGAAGATAATCATATAAGCAAAACAGATTTCCTGGTGGTTACAGATGCCTGTGGAAAGCAGTCACTTGGAGAGTGTGAGGCGCCTTGTAGGTTGGGAATTTCCCTTTGGTGGTGTCAGAGTCTGGAAAGAGAATTGAAAGGGGGCTGATTTTCTCAGCACATGATTCATTTGCCTAGTGTCAGGACAGGAAACTCCCTGCAGGGGTGAACC